TTCTAAAATCAGCTAACAACACCCGTGTTTCAGTTGGTAGAGTCTCCAAGAGTGACATAAATCGCAATAAAAATAGGGTTGTAGAAGTGATTGGGAAAAATAGTAAATCTTCTTGCTTAAAAACTGCGGGAAAGTACGAATGGCTGTTTGTCTCCCGTCTCCTACCCTCGACAACGACAGATAACGTGCTTAACTTCATGAAAAATAGTGAAATCCAAAATGCTGAATGTGTTGAACTGAAGACAAAGCATCCAACCTACAAGTCTTTCAAAGTGGGAATTGACGAAAGTTCGCTGGATAAAGTCCTAACTCCCGAGTTTTGGCCTGAGGGAATTTATGTGAGGAAATACATAGCAAACAGACACCGGCAGGAGAGACAGCAAGGTAGGCCTACCATTGACTCGAATGCTTTTTTAGAGAGGCAACCCCAAAACACGAGGCAAGGAAGGTGCAATCGGTAAGTGTTTGTAGACCTATACAAGACGTAGATATAATCCTATCTGATAATGAAATTGACTTAAGGTCCAGTACCTCTGATGTAAAGTTGACAATTGGACATTTAAATGTCCAATGCTTGCGAAATAAATTTGACTCTGTGAGTATACTTTGTAGAGATGAGGATATTGACATTTTGAGTGTTTCTGAACACTGGTTAGCAAACAGTGAGGTACAATTTTACAGTAAACTGGAAAACCTGGACTTGGCCACTAGTTTTTGTAGGTCTGTATTTAAAAATGGTGGCTCCGCTTTATACTTAAGGAATGGCCTAGAATATGAAATTATTGACCTAACAAAGTTTTGCATAGAAAAGTCTTGTGAATTAGTAGCAGTGCACCTCACAAAGTCAAATCTGGTTGTAGCCTCACTGTACAGGTCACCTGACAAAATGAACTTCACTGATTTCTGTGATAAGCTAGAAAGCTCGTTGTTGTATCTGTCATCTTTGTGTGTAAATGTCATTATGTGTGGAGATTTTAATGTAAATGTAATAGATTCTTCTTGTGATGAAGACTTCTTTAGGAATCTAATAAGCCAGTGTGGATTTTTTATAACAAACACCCTGCCAACTCGAGGGATGTCGTGTATTGACAATATTTTAACTAATATGGACCAGAGTAATTATGTGACAAGGGTAGTCATACCCATGATTTCTGATCATGACGCCATCCTAATGGATGTAACTCCTCAATCTGTGACTAGTACCCCGCCTCATGCGTGGATGAAAAATTATAAGTGCGACATACGCACTGGCTTGAATGACCCCTTACGGATTCTTCGCTTTAAGACTGCTCTAAATGAAATTGCCTGGGATGACATAATAGCTAGTAGACCACAGGGTGAGAGTTGTTTCGATTCCTTTTTTAGCCACCTTCAGGAAGCCCTGGATACAGTGTTCCCAGTAAAGGAGAAGCGGGCAGCAACCCTGAGTAAGACGGGTAGGCCTAAACCAAAGAAAAGCGTAGGACCTCGCATATCCGATTGGTACACTCCAACTCTTAGTAGACTCAAGGAGTTCATGCTGATGCTACGTGCCAGGGGAGACGAGGCTAGGTATCTGTTAGCTAAGAAGCTGTATAATAAAAGAGTTGAAGAGGCGAAAAGAGCAGGTAATGTCAAATTCATCGAAAATTCCAACAACCAATGTAAAGCTGCCTGGGATGTCATAAACTCAGTCAAGCCGCCCACACCAGGAATGCGCTGTGCTGCAAGTCCCGATGAATTTAACAACTTCTTTATTTCATCAGTCTCAGACATAGTTACCAGTATCCCTGATGCTCCCTCTGACCCTTTGGACATTTTGAAAGATCGGATGCCGGAGTTTCAGCCCGACCTTAGTAAGACCGTATGGACTAAAGTAAATGAAGAAAAGGTCCGGAAGATTATAAGTGGGCTTAAGAGCACCGTGAGCCGCGATTACTATGGGTGGTCTACCAAGCTCCTTAAGGAAGTAGCGGATGTCATCATTGCACCCCTCACCCTAGCTATCAATGACAGCCTGCAGCAGGGTTTTTTTCCGGCACTCATGAAGATCGCACGGACAGTGCCTATATACAAAAAGGGAGACCCCAACATTCTGGCTAGCTATAGGCCTATCTCTTTGGTACCTGTCCTCGGCAAGGTTCTCGAGATAGTAATAAAGGAACAAACCTGCAATTACTTTGAGTCAAACAACCTTTTTAGTGACTCGCAGCACGGTTTTCGGAGGGGCAGGTCTACTACTGGAGCAGTTTCAGTCATTGCTGATGAAATCGCAAACGCTTTTGAAGACAGCGACTCAGTATCTCTTACACTGTGTGATCTGAGTCGAGCGTTCGACTGTGTTCCCCATGGAATCCTTGTTGATAAGCTTTTCGCTTTTGGTGTCAGAGGTAAAGCTCTCTCCATGCTTAGTAGCTACTTAAGTGACAGAAGACAAGTAGTTGACTTAAAGGGTGCAAAATCCGCAGAAAGGGAGGTTCTGCATGGAGTCCCTCAGGGCTCAGTTCTCGGGCCACTTCTCTTCCTGATTGCTATTAACGACTTGGGGTGGCATGGAAATCTTGTGCTGTTTGCTGACGATACTACCTTGTATACCAGAGGGAAAACACCGCTCCTTGCTGAGGAACTGGCGAAAAATTATCTGAAAGATGTGGAGCTGTGGTTCAGGGCAAACAAACTGCAACTAAATGAGACCAAGACAAACTGGTTGACTTGCACTCTGTCACGCACCCCAAACAACATCGGTGGGAGTGTTAAACTATTGGGTTTCTACCTTGACTCAACACTGGACTGGAGCGATCACGTCAAACATGTATGCACTAAGCTGGCTCGTGTCATATTTCTACTGAGGAGATTGAAGAAGTGTGTTACAGATTCCTACCTGGTTATGGTGTACTATGCTATGTTTCATTGTCATATCTCTTATGGCATACATCTCTGGGGACACGCTGCTGGGGCAGCCAGAGTTTTGAAGCTCCAGAAGAAAGCTGTGCGCATTATAACAAGCAGCCATCGCCATGAGCATAGCAAACCCATCTTCAAAAACCTGGGCATCTTGACCATCTATAGCCACTACATATGGGCATGCATGCAGGAAATCAAGAACAATGAACTGGGCCTGGTGGCCAGGGCTGACATTCACAACTACAATACAAGAGGCCGAAATCAACTAGATGTTCCTCGCACTCGCCTCAGTAGAAATAGGGACTCATTCCCTGGAAGCGCCATCCGTTTCTTCAACAAACTCCCAGCTGCCACTAAGACCCTCGCCAGCAGAAAGTTTAAAACCACCACAGGAAATTTTTTCCGTAAAAATCCCTACTTCTCAACAAAGGAATTCCTGGAAGGTAGTTTGAATGAGCTGAAGTAGAACATAGCGACCGCCATGAGTACTAAAATTATGTTTTTTTACATATTTTAAACTTGTGAGTCTTATACATATGTGCGGAAATAAATAAGTAGTTTTTTACGCAGACACAGCCTATTCCCATTATACGATGGGTCAACGGCCAAGAAGATGGTAATAAGGTAATAATAAGGTAATACCTACTAATAACTTAGGGTAACTTACATGTTTGAATAAAATTTTTTTTTTTATATTACTTAAGATTCCATGAACAATTCTTACTTTAAAATTTCTAATGTTAAGTTATTGCCTCTATACAAGAATATGTATAGCCTAATTTTACTACATGTCCTGAGAAAAAATTTATTTAGTTTTTGTTTGAAATTTGTAGCACAAAATCATGCAATTTCTTTTGTTTTCAGGTCATAAACTTTCTAAAACAAAATGGCAACTTGGTTGAAATATTTGTACATTTCCATGTAGGGAAATAACTTGCTTAACATTCCTAACATTTAGTAGCCTAAGTTATTTGAATTTCACAAAGAATTGTTGGTTCATGTTTTACTTTCAAAATTTCAAAAGCCAATTTGTTTTATTTTTTTCTACCTTTTGCCAATACGTAATGTATTTACTGATCTGAATATTTCTTCTGTTGCCATTTTCAAATTTTTCACTTCATTACGAACAATTCAAGTATAGCCTACGGTTCCATAAGTTTGCTCTGTTGGTTTAGTTTACCTAAGTTATATGAATTTTTGAAAATAGGCCTATGACTGTAAAATCGCCAAAAACTTCTTCAGGCCTAACTTGCATCCTACATCCTTTATAGTATATAATATGTAGGCTACTAGATAAGTTATGGTTTAACTAAGAGCCAAACACGTTCATAACTAATTCTTTAAAATTAATTTAACTCAGCCTAAAAACTCAAATAAGTTAGCCTAGCATAGATAACTTAATCAGAAAAAATACATTAGTTGCAATCATCCAACCAAATGAGACGTTTCATTTAAGGTTATCTAGAACTTACAATGTCACTTTGCTAATTGCTTTCGCTTAGGGCTTCTTGTGCATCGTTTGAGAGAAGGCTGTGCATTTTGGTAGCCTAAATAGTATGAAACATGTGTTGTGTTGAGCATTCATAATCATGTGGTTCCTTTGACGCCGATCGGACAAAGAAAAGCCCGGGGAAACTCCCGCCAAAAATTAGGACTGTGGCTACCCTGTCCACGCTAAACTTACAGTGGTGAGTCAATTAAATAACTTATCATTTTATATTAAGTTATAATCTTTGCAAGAAGATTGTCAGTTCTTGCAATAACGCGATTAAACAGGTAAATTTCAGATTGTGAAGTTCTGTTTCGAGGAATTGCGACGATGGCGTTAGATAGAGCGGCGTTTATTGTCTTCAACACGTGAGGCAAGTTAACGCAATCGGCTCACCAACCCGAATAAAACCGGACTTGACATGTTATTAATCGAAATCAGCAGAGGATAAAGAAGGGATTTAGTACTAAATGTTAAGCTCGAAAGGAATTACAGTAGACTAGACAGAATGTAACGATTTGACCGTTACATTTGGAACCCACAAAGATGGCGAAGTGGTCAGGAACACCTGGAGACAAATAGTCTACCTCTGGCCTATTATATTTAGGAAAGGATGAAATCTTCTTACCTTAGCACCGATCTGGTTTCCGCACTGTCCAGCTTGAATGTGTACAATTTCCCTCATTTTGATGTGTAACTAATAAATACGACGAGTAACTATAAACCTCTTCACACAGCGTTCGTGAAACGAGTGAACTGAAATTTCCCAGTCTGTAACGGTTTTACAGGCTGGAGGAGAGACGCCCAAGCTCGCCTCTGATTGGTCGAAACATGGGTGTGCAATGACGTCATGCGCACTGTTGCCAACGTAGGCAGAAACCTACGAAACCTTTCCCATTTCAATCATACGCTCTTTTCCGGTCTACAACTTCGTTTGTTCCGGAGGCCGGTTTTTGTAAAAACCATTAATTAAGCCGGCTCAATTTAATAATTACGATTTTCACATATAAATTCTTTAGGACAAAGTTTGTTGAAATTATTAAAACCTAATACCATTGACTATTGGATACACTAACACATTACACAAGTTGTATAGTCCAATAGGCCTAATGCAGATAATAAAACAAAAGAATATTATTTTAAATGATTTTCTAACATTACTCAACAAGTGCGAATAGTTATTATAACGCATATATTATCATTATGCAAGCAAACAAAATAAAGATTATTCATGTAATTTCTAGAAATATATCAACAATTTTGTAAATCTAATTTCATTGCACTGGAATTCGTAATGAAGATTATAATTATTCCAGGTCTGGTCTGAATTAATTACTATTGCCACAGTACGTTTTCTGTGCTATTGCTTACCAACCTCATATATAATGATGGTTTTTAATTAAAATTCAAAAATATCTTGAGTAAGTTTGTGTACTAAAGCACAGTTGATTATTTCGAATACATATAATAATTTTGTAGTTTTCAGTTTTTTTATAAACCAAGATAAGCCCCACCCCAACCACACATTCATGTTTATCTCATGAAATAAACCAAATGTAATATATATATATCCAAAACAAAACAAGGTTTACTCGTCGCCAGAATCAAAGTATACGGTGAAACACGATACTGTATATTTGGTTCCATGCCTATATTCTGTGATGCTATGCAACTATACCCTAATTGGCTAAGCAAAAAATAATGCTAACGTTTTGTTTGTAAATTGCATCGTAATGTAAAATTCTACTAAATGAAAAAGTATTTAATTATATAGGGTTTACCAATTGGAAAACATGTTGCTGTTTCAGTAGAACCTTTGACTGATTATTAATAGAACTAGACATTCCATCCCAATGTTTGATTCGATTTAAAATTATTGTCGCTAATTTTGTAAAATTGAGCCACCGACAGATAAAATAGACAATTAATTGTCAACAGCCCCAACAGCTGGTCCAATGGATTATACCACTGACTATAGACGATTACTATAGACCATAATGGTCTATACTCTATAGTCAGTGATTATACATATCCCGTAGTATAAAGTAGGCAGCCCGCCTTCTCTAATATTCAAAAATCAGAACTTGAAACTGTCAAAAGTGTCAAAGGATGGTAAGATCCATATCCAGGCAAACACTTAACCATAATTGATTAATCGGTTGATTGACTAATTATGATGCAACAGGTCCTTTCAATTTCGAGTTTTTCTTGGCTTTGTAAACATTTGAATCTGCAATTATATTAAGTAAAATGTCGTTAAATTGTATTCATGTTTTCATTGAATATATTACTATTATTTAATTGCCTTATTGTTGGTAATGTCCGATAGCAATTAATTTAGAATAAAAGATTGTATCGCTTCATTTTTCTGTATCTGACTGTTGGCTGCATATCACCAATACAGCTGTACCACCACAGAAAACGTACTACTCCCACTTGGGTTTCAATGTTTGACCGATTTTGGCGGATCGTCTTCGCGAACGAACAATACTACAGTTACACAATAGTCGGCCTTGAAAACGGACAATGGAACAAACCCGAAATCTCACTGAGAGAGCACCTACTTCAAGAAATGAAGACAATGGATATATTCAAGTAAAAGTTGTAATGTTAATATTTCCCTACTTTCCCACTTATGAAGGAAATATATGATGGAAAATAATAGTCATAGCAGGATAGCTAAGTATATTGCTCACTTAAACATAAAATGTTTAAATCAAAAGTTTACTGGTTCAATCCTGAGAAAGATCAGTAGCACAGTGGACATAGTTTTTTTTTATGGTTAAAATGAGCCCAGCTGTCCTTGATTGACTCATCACTCTTCATAAATGCTTCTGGCTGAAGGCCTTAAATAATAAGGCATTTTTTGTTATAATGTTATAGCATGTTATATTATTGTGTTAAGTTAAAGACATGTTATACATATGTCTTTCATTTTCATAAAGTAACAAAGCTAACAAGTTAATCTTACTCCATTTTGGACTGCTTTTGTATTCATTTCAACTTAAAATACAGTAACTAAACTAGGTGTGCGATGTTGTCTGTATTCAAATTAATCAGTAAAATGAATGAATAAGGAGGTTTGTTTATCAAATACAGTAAACAACAACAACTTGCTATAGTAGGTTCCTATTATTTAGTCGCAGTCTGTCGGAGAACGAATCAGAGTGTTATTTTATGCATTTCTGTACAGTTTAATTGCAGAATAGTCGCTAACTCTCTCCACTCCACCCCATTATGACCTGATAAGCCACTTTACCTCTGCTTTGTCAGTCGTGGTTCTGGTTAGAAAAAGCAACTAATAAAAAACTGTCTAAAGATACAAATCAATGATAATCTTCGATTTAGTAAATTCGACAAACCTTTTCTTACCTTTATTTTACCTTCAGATGGACATTATTTTACTTCCATTGTTTCCTATACCTGACAAGTAGATAGGCCTAAGCAGGTGACAGGTGGTGGGTAGGGGAGGCCACTGCCACCTGCCCTTGTCTTCCTACACCTTCAATTTCAGACAGGAAACAGCCCATGTGTGCTCCTTACAAATAGATATAGAATCTACTGGTACTCTAAATTCAATGGCGAATAACATTAAGATTTCCATTGATACCAAAGTCATCTTGAAATCAAACTAAACCAATGCCAAGCAATAATTTACTTTCGTAATCCTAACGTCTGTAGTGTTGTGTTGTGGTAACCATAAATTTTGATCGATATTTTAAGCAAGATAATATATTTTGTGCATCAATTATGTGTATAAATTTACCAAAATTCATACTCTTGGAAATCGAAATGAGACAACACGAGACAGATCTTTAGAACTAAGAATAAAACTCTGACACTTAAAAATATTATTTCATACGTATCTGTAACCTGCATTTCTTGCATCTTACGTCGCGTAATTGTTTTCCTTATTTCTGATATTTTACGTTCTCTAGGCTTTATATTGGTCGCAGTATTTTTTAGCATACGTTGAGGCAGCGAATAATAAAAGAACTTCATATGCCTATCTTTGTCGTTAACAGTTATTTTATTTTTTGTAATTTTATAGTATGATTATTTTTTTAATTTACGTGAACATCTCATTAAGTCAATTAATGATTTTGCATCGCAAAATGTTAAGAATTATTTGGTTTTGCACACATTAGTCCATTAATCTACATGAAATAAGAGTTAAACTACTCAGCTTCAACATTAGTGAATTAGTGTAGATAAGTCATAATTCAATGACATTATTCAGTCATCATTTAGGCTACCTACTCAAGAGTTATTGTGAAAACTCTTGGAAATCCACCCCTTTCATTTATCACCAAGTTTGTTGATTGTGTCTAGATATCAACTGGTATTTGACGGCGCCAAGACAAGGCAATTCAATCACTGCAGATTACAGTGTAATACGTACTCTGTGTGTTAAGCACTGAATAAAGAGCTAGACCATCTTAGTAAACTAATCTTTACTACCCATCAAACATTTTAGATACGTATACACCTAGCCATAGTAAATTAGTCAAGGTTATAACACAAAGAGTAATAACTATAATAAAGACCAGGAAAATTGCACAAATTTCATTATTATAAATTATTAATTTATAGTTTAACCTAACTAATGAGTTGTGGCATTTTTTTAACGAGAAACTCTTATTAATTAACCGGTTCACTACTTACTAAACAGGATGCGGACTAATTATTTTCATCGGGTTAACAAAGTCGTCAATTAATTTGCACTGAAGGATTAATTATTTTGTAAATGCATTAGAGTGTGAACAATGTTCTTGATAAGAGGAGCGTCGACATCTTATTGCTCTCACGGCTCTAGTCAGATATAATTAAATTTGGAAAATTTATAAAATTAATAAGCCTATATTTTACATAAATGTTAGCTATATTTTAATTTTTACGATTTACATTAGGGCTATTTAGCAAATATCTAAACCTGAACATTCAATAAAATTTAAACTGTTAGTTACAAACATTTTTCCTATTTCAAATAATAACACACCAGGGGTAGGAGAATTAGGGCGGTTTGCGTGCTAAATAAAATAAAATAGTCAAACAGATGTTACTTTCGTGCAGCAGTTTATCGATCAGAGTAGGCGGTAGTGGATTTTCGTGCCGCAAGGTTGGCAGCGGGGGCCCGCGCCGTCCACTGTTCCGCTGTTCCCCCACCACTGCGACGCGCCGGCAACCGGCAACCCGGTCGCTGAATGACGTTATTAATTTGAAATTTAATTTAATTTACAGTGTCTACCTTGCGTATTTTTAGTGCTAAAGTAATTACATGAAAGCTTAGGAATAAACCTGTAAATAGCGTATTCTTCTTTCAAAAGTTTGGCACGACGCACCTTAATCATTTACTTAAATTGCAAGAAACTTGTGTTGTAATTTTTGAAAATTCAAATATTTGAAGTGAGTAGAGGGGGTGGGGGGTACCAGCAGCGGTGCGGCATTTTAAAAAGGACGGGTTTCCGTTTAATTTTGAATAGAGTTGATTACGTATATTTGTTTACATTCCAACATGTAACGTACTATTCCAAGGTCGCTTCGTGTAAAGTGATGAATCCATAAGGAAATCCAATAAAAATGCAACAAAACAATCAAATCAACTACCTACTGTAATAAAAAAAAAAACGAGATGAGGTATAACTCAAGTATAGACCACTCAAATTTTCACAAGCAAATCGGTCACCGCAAAATATTTCAACTAAGACCACTCCTTTAGCTTGACAAGCTTGAATAGAAATTTTATAAATGGCAAAACAAATCTCTGGCTATTGTCTATGGTTTGT